CCGAGAGATAGCTCAGTAGAATAAGTGCTTCCCTGGCAAGCACAGCGTCCCAAATTCAATCCCCGGTACCACAAAAAAAAAAAAAAAAAAAGAGAGAGAGCCCCAAATATAAATCATATGAATGCAGAGAGACTCTAGTTGAAACTAACATGGCAGATCTGGAGACTATCTTGTCCCCTTTCCTTCCAGTGGCTTTTAGTGTTCCTCAGAGCCATCTGGAGCCCAAAATTCCATTAAGTCCCTTGAAGATCTTGACTTCAGGGAAGGCAAAGTCAGTAGGGGAACTTTCATAGCAAAGTTTAAGAGCATAACTTTTCTTTTTGGCTAGGGAGATAGCTCAGTAACATTACATACCTGCCTGACAAGTTTAAGGTCCCAAATTTGATCCCCAGTATTATAAAAACCAAACCAGGGGCCGGGGAGATAGCTCAGTAGAATAAGTGCTTGTCTGGCAAGCGCAAGGACCTGAGTTCAATCCCCGGTTCCACAACAAAAAACCCAAAACTTTTCTTTTTGGTATGTCATTTCATTTCATTTCGACAGAGGGTCTCCTGTGTAGTACAGGTTGGCCTCAAACTGGAAGGGATCTTGTCTCAGCTTCTTGAGTGCTGGGATTACAAATGTGCACCACCATGTCCAGCTAAAGAGCATAAAGCTTAAGAAATCCTTTTGGCCAGGTGTGGTGGCACGCCTGTAATCCTGGCACTCAGGAAGCTAAGGCAGGATTATTGTGAGCTTGAAACCAACGTGGGCTACAAAGTGAGCTCAAGACTATTTTGAACTACATAGTAAGACTCTGTCTCAAAAAGACAAAAAAAAGGGGCCAGGGAGATAGCTCAGCAGTCTAAGTGCCTGCCTGACAAGCACAAGGACCCAGGTTCAAGAGAGTGTTCCCCTGTACATGCATCCCCTGCCACCATGCACACCTACAATCTCAGAACTAGTGGACTGCGGAGGCTGAGACAGGAGGATCACTATGAGTCAAACTGCATCTCAAAAATATTTTGGGGGCGGGGGAGATGGCTCAGTGGAATAAGTGCTTCCCTGGCAAGCGCAAGGGCCTGACTTCAATCCCTAGTTTCACCAAAAAAAAAAAAAAAATCTTAGTAGTCTTTAAAAAAAATTAAAAAAAAAAAAAAGTCCTTTTGTATTGACTCAAGAGAGGTAAAGTTTTCTACGTTCATTTCCTGTGTGTGTATGTGGTACTAGGGAATGAACCCAGGGTCTTTACTTTGCGCTACATCCCAGCCCTTTTTATTCTTTGAGTCAGGATCTTACTAAATTGCTGTGTTGCCCAGGTTGGGCTCCAACTTGCTGTCCTCCTGCCTCAGCCTCCAGAGCACTGGGGCTATAGACCTCTGTACCTGTAAGTTCATCTCTTCAATGAAGACAATCATCCATGCTTCAGGGTCATAATGGAAATTAAATAAAATGTGTAATAGTACAGCATATGGTGCAGTTGGGGACAGCCAATAACCATGGGCAGAGAAAATGTGGGGAGAAAGAAAATTTATTGAATTCCTACTCTGGGTCAGGTGTTCTGCCAAACGTTTATCATATACTGATCTACTCTTTTTTTTCTTTTTTTAATTTTATTTGTGCGTGTGTGTGTGTGTGTGTGTGTGTGTGTGTGGCCAGCTCAGCCCACCAGGGGGTGGGGGCTGACTGGCATGTGGTGCTGGGGGACTGAACCATGGTCCCTGTGCTGTGCTAAGCTTGTTCTAAGTAGGTGCTTTAGACCACTGAGCCATCTCACCAGCCCCACTGATCTACTCTTCACAGTGCAACAAAACTGACTCTATAAAATCAACGTTCAAAGAATGGGATTGTTCTAGGTTAGGTAGGCAGCATAAGCCAAAGTATCAAAGCCAGCCCTTTGTGCAGTGAAATGAGTCTGCTGCTGCACAGGACTGCCAGGGTCCAGGCCAGCCGGGCATCATAGTCATAACCTGCCAACCATGCCCTTGCGACTCAGACAAGAAGGTACAGAGAAGCAGCCACGGCTGTGATCAGAGGGAGAGTGCGTATGTAGTATGGACAAGAACCTAGGTTTGACCCTCAGCATAGAAAACAAAGCACAAAGAGGGAACTGGAAACAGGGGCACAGGTGCTGTTTTTTCCCTACTGAAACAAGATGCTTCAGGCTCCCTCTCCAAAATGAGAGCAGCTTAAAGCCAGAGACCAACCTGTCGATGCCAAGGTGAGGTAGTAGAGAAGGGAGCCACACTGGTTGAGCAGAAAGGGCACCAGGTACTAGAAATGGGAGAAAGCCAGGTCAGTGTGATTGCTTGACTGAGCAGCACTGCCTTCCTTGAGCTTCAGGCACACATCTTTCTCTGGAGGGAGCAATAGTTATTAAGTGCCCAGGGAATCCCAAGCCTCTGTGGAGGACCCTTCTGGGGCAAAGAGAAACAGAATGAAGACCACACCGCTACCTTAAACACCTTCTCCCTCAACTCAGCTAGTTCCCAACCTTCCCACTCGATAAACCCTTGAATGCCACCGTCACCTCTCCAACAAGCCTACCCTAAGTCCCCCAATTCCAGTTTGTCCCCACTGAACTCACATAGCACTTATCTGTCCCTCCTTCCTTGCTTTTAACCCTGAGAAGTAGCTGCATCCATGTCTGGTCTTTCTCACTAGCCTCAATTAGTGGGCTTGGGATCAAAGACAGTGGTCTTTCTCTGGAAAGGCTCCGAGCACAAGAGCTACCACGTGCAATTGGAGGAATCACAATACTCAAGTATTGGGCCGAGGAGATGGCTCGGTAGAATAAGCGCTTCCCTGGCAAGGGCAAGGGTCTGAGTTCAATCCCCGGTTCCACAAAATAAAAACAAAACAATATTCAAGTGTCCAGTGTAGCCATAGATGGACAGGAGACTTATGATGAGCTAGTGAACTAGGCCCAATGGTAAGAGCTTTATGTGCCTCACCATACTTAAAATTTTTTCATTTTTTCTTTTGTCTTTTGAGACAGGGTCTCACTATGCAGTTCAAGCTGGCTTTGAACTCACTTTGTAGCCCAGGCTGGCCTCCCGAGTGCTGGGATTCCTGGAGTGGGCTACCACATCCAGCTATACTACTTACAACTGCCTTCCTCCTCCACCCCACCCCATCTTGAGACAGGGTTTCATTCTGTAGATCAGGCTGACTTTGAGCTCGCTGTCACTCAGGGTGGCCTTGAACTCTCATTGATTCTCCTGCCTCAGCCTCCTAAGTGCTGGGATGATGGACACGTTGCCACCATGCCTGGCTTTTCATAAATGCCTTACAAGAAAGTTATCACTGTGATTCTCATTTTACAGATGAAACCAAGGCTCCTAGAGGACTAGTATCTCATTCCTCCAAGAGCTTTTTATAAGTTCTGACCCAGATCTATTTGACTCCTGAGAACAAATGCTTAGCGACTATTCCTCTGAGGGAGGCTGTTCACAGACGCACCTCAGTATTCAAGAAAAGGGTCTTCATCTCCTGCAGCAACTGTCGGGCCCAATTCCGCTCCTGCACCTCTTGTAGACCAGCGGAGGCCCGCTTCAGCAGCGGCTGCGTGCCACCCCACAAGACGGCTACCAGCACCAGAGCCAGCACTTGCCCTGAATGCAGAGATGAAGATTTGGAGGGGCTGGGGAAATGGCTCAGTAGAATAAGCGCTTCCCTGGCCAGCGCAAGGGTCTCAGTTCAATCCCCGGTTCCGCCAAAAAAAAAAAAAAAAAAAAAAAAAGATTTGGGTTATCCTGATCCCCACCCCCATACGGCTGCCCATCCAGCCTCGCCCTCCTCTAGCCCAAACTAGACCGCTCTCCCACCGACGCCCTGGCTGCTCTTGGCTTATGGAGAACGACAGGCCCGCGGGGAACTGGTGAGAAAAAAATCCAGGAGCTCCGATTTTGGAGGGCGAAGAGCCACTGGGAAAAGAACTCCGGGCGGGGCGGGGCCAGCTACCCACCTAGAGACGCCGCCATGGCAACACTATCCCGGTCTACTTCCGGAAACGAGGGGGCGGGTCCTACGAGCCGGAAGTGGCCTGAAGCCTTTTCCGGTTCCACTCACGTTGCCGCTCTTCTCGCGTTACCGCCGGCATGGTGAGTTCCAGAGTTGCGAGTGATGGGGTAGGGGGTCCCGGGACCTGGCAGGGGCAGGATTCCGGACACTGACACTCCCGTCCTGTCCCCACAGAAGCCGATATTGCTGCAGGGCCATGAGCGGTCCATTACGCAGATAAAGTATAACCGCGAGGGAGACCTCCTCTTCACCGTGGCCAAAGACCCGGTGAGTGTGGGCGCGTGGGCGGGCGGGACCGACGAAGGGGGCGCGGGGAGGGCGAGTGCGTTCTGCCAGGACTGGGGGTGGGAGAAGCTAGTTTTGCCCCCTGAAGGGAAACTAAAGATGTCCCATCTTAAAAAGCTGGGAAAGACTATGGGCGAGAGCATTCTGTCCAGGAAAGGTGAGAAGTAGCTCGATTGTTGGTAGGAAGGACTAGCTAGAGAGGGAAAACAGCAGAGCGTTGTGGAAGGGAGCCAGGCACGAGAGTCGGCGTTTTCAGAGAACAGACCACTTCTAAGGCAGAGCTGACCCACGGGGCCGCAGGCTGCCACTAGAACCCAAGTTGGCGGTGTGGCCCCTAGGTAGAGCTTGTGCTTGGTGTGCTGGAGTTCTGGGGTTCAACCTCCAGCATCAAAAAGACAAGAAAAAGCCACAGAAGACTTAATGAGGGTCTGCCTAGTCTCAGATCAGTCTCCCATCCTGTCATAAGCGCACAGTCCTTCATGATACAGCCCGTTGAAGCACCAGCATATGGAGGCTGTTAACTAGTTATTAGCCTGTTAACTAGCTTGCGGTCAGACTTGCTTTGATTCCTGACTCCTGCATTCACCAGTCATGTGACTTGGAGCATGCCATTCATCCCTTTTTAGTTCCTACTTTATAAAGCCATAGGTACTTAAAGCCCCCCCCCATGAGATTTTTGTAAGGAGTGTCTGCTGCATGGGTGCCTGAGGTTAGTCACTTATATTTTAGATTCCTTAGACACAGTTTTGTGGGTACCTCATAGATGCCCTTGAAGGACTCACTGTCTTGGCCATTTTTGTTGTGACAGTGCTAGGGGTTGGCCCGACGGCCTCACACTTGCTGGGCAAGTGCCCTGTCTCTGAGGTCCCTCTCCAGCCCATGTGTGCTGGCCATTTTAAAACTATGCGGAGGGGCCGGGAGATGGCTCAGTAGAATAAGTGCTTCCCTGTCAAGCTCAAGGGCCTAGGTTCAATCCCTGGTTCCTCAAAAAAAAAAAAAAGAAAGAAAGAAAGAAAAGAAAAAAGGAAGAAGGAAAGAAAGCAAGCAAGCTGAAGTTGAGAGGGGAGAGGTACCATAGTTGAGATCATTTAATGAGATAGTGATAGTAGGCACAGGAACCCAGACTTACCTACTACCAGTGCTACTAATTTTCTGAGCTGAAGAGTAACTTGACCTTGTATTCTTCTGAAAGATTAGTCCAGGGAAGGGTTGCAAGCCTGATTCTCCCACTGCATACCTTCAGGAAGGAAGGAGAATCAAGTAGCTGATCTTTTTATCAGCTCTCCTGCCCAGTTCATGAGCAAGAAAGAGCAGAATTAGCTTGGCTAGAGATCGCAAAGGGTTCCTAGGGCAAACCGGGAGGCTGTTGCGCTTCCTAGCCTGTAAACTGTCCTGTCATTTGACTCTATAGATTGTTAATGTGTGGTACTCTGTGAATGGCGAGAGGCTAGGCACGTACATGGGCCATACTGGAGCTGTGTGGTGTGTGGACGCTGACTGTATCCTTTGTTTTTGTGCTGAGTCTGTGCTGTAGGGTCTTCCAGCTATGACAATGCTGAGTTGGAGGTTGGGAATTTGGGATGCTCTTTTGGGTCTAGAGAATAATACTACCTCGTACTTTCAGTTTCTTCACTGATTGGGGGAACATTCAGGACAAGTTCCAGTTCTAGATGAGGAATATAAAGTGCTCTGAGGGGGCCAGGGAGATGGCTCAGTAGAATAAGCGCTTGCCTGGTAAGCACAAGGGCCTGAGTCCAATCCCTGGTTCCACGCCCCAAAAAAAAAAAAAAAATGCTGGTGGGGGGGTGGCTGGGAGATGGCTCAGTAGAATAAGAGCTTCCCTGGAAAGTGCAAGGGCTGAGTTCAATCCTTGGTTCCACCAAAAATAAAATAAAATAATAAATAAGATGCTCTAAGCTTAGCAAAGCACAGGGACCACGGTTCAATCCCCCAGCACCACATGCCAGCCAGCCTGCCCCCTGGTGGGCTGAGCTGGCCACACACACACACACACACACACACACACAAATAAATAAATAAACTTTTAAAAAAGATGCTCTGAGATGAGAGAAAGGAAAGAAGGTCTTTGGGGCTGGATAGGGAGGTGATCTGGTTGACCTCCCAAAAGAATAAGGGTTCAGGGGACCGGGAGATGGTTCAGTAGAATAAGTGCTTCCCTGGCAAGCACAAGGGCCAGAGTTCAATCCCCGGTTCCGCTGAGGAGAGAGAGAGAGAGAGAGAGATCTGATGAACTTAGTTGCATTCCTTAACACTCTCCAGGGGACACCAAGCATGTCCTCACTGGCTCGGCTGACAATAGCTGTCGTCTCTGGGACTGTGAAACAGGTAAGCCTAGGCTGTTTATTAACAAAAACTTGACTACCTACAGTATAGCTGTGCAAGAAAACAGGTTTTGGGGAGTTGGAGATGAATCCAGACATGGTGCCTAGTGTAGAGAATCTGGAAGGCAGAACTGGGCAACTGCTTGCCTGGGTTAGGGATAGAAGCAGCTCAGAAAGATTTCCCAAGGCAAGTGTTATGGGGTGGAGCTTAAAGAAACAGAAAGATGTCATCTCTTTGGCACATGCTGAAATAGAGTTGAAGTGTGGAGAGTGTAATATTCTACTTCTTGGGTAGAAAACATGAGGCAGGAGAATCAGGCTAAGTAACAAGCCTTGAATGCCCAATTCAGCAGCTTGGCTTTGTTGTGTAGCATACCATGGAGGTGCCTGAGCAGGGAAGAGTAGTGGTTTTGTTACTTTTAGCAAGGTCCAGGAACGGTGGACAAGCTGGTGCTGAAGACAGAAAGCCTATGAAGCTAATCTGTTCAATAAGTATTTACTGGATTTCCAGTTCTGTAAAGTCACTGGGGTCATGCAGAGAAATCAGACCAGCTTCTGGCTATAGAGGAACAAAGTCTTGAGGGGGACAGATAGGTTACAGTCCACTTGGAACAGTGCCACATTAGTAGGAAGTCTGAGAAGGGACTGTGGGGAAGGGCTGAAAAGACTTTGAGTCAAAGTGAAGAAGAGAGTGGTGGGCTGGAGTCATTGGAGCAGGCGAAACCGAGTTGTGATGCTTGACAGGTGTCGAATCCTCCCTGTGGGGATAGTGAACCAGGGGTATCCCAGATTCTGCCTATCTCCAGGGAAGCAGCTGGCTCTCCTTAAGACCAACTCGGCTGTCCGGACCTGTGGTTTTGACTTCGGGGGCAACATCATCATGTTCTCCACGGACAAGCAGATGGGCTACCAGTGCTTTGTGAGCTTCTTTGACCTGCGGGATCCGAGCCAGATTGGTAAGGGCTGGAGCCAGGACTGGGGTTGGGGTGAAGTGTACAGCCCTGGAGACCAGGGTCTGACATCTGTCCCACACAGATAGCAATGAGCCCTACATGAAGATCCCTTGCAATGACTCCAAGATCACCAGTGCTGTGTGGGGACCCCTGGGAGAATGCATCATTGCAGGCCATGAGAGTGGAGAGCTCAACCAGTATAGTGCCAAGGTAAGCAGGGCCTGTGTCCACCAGCAAGGCTCCTTACCAAAGGGATACCTTGGTGGCTAGGAGCAGAACTTCACCACCTCCTTGGCTGTGTGTTGCAACTATGTGATGTTGGCAAGTTACATACCTTCCCTGAGCTTGTTTTGGTTTTTTTTTTTATATATAACTTTTTTTTTTTTGGTGGAACCAGGGATTGGACTCAGATCCTTGTGTTTGCCAGTCAAGCACTTATCCTACTGAGCCATCTCCCCAGCCCCCCTGAGCTTGTTTATCAATGAAATATCTCAAGAATCAAATGACATCAGATATTTAGAAAACAGTGCAAAATACTCAGGACATGTTAATAATGAGCACAGATCATTTATCTGCCACCAGAAAGCCAGCCCCTGTGCTAGGCTCCTGTGGTAGCACTCACCTGTAATCCCATCACTTGGGAGACCTTGGGTCAGGAAGCTCCCTGTGAGTTCAAGGCCAGCCTGTACTACATAACAAGGCCCTGTCTCCAAACAAAACAAAGGATCAGATATGATCCAGGGGGACACAGGTGTGCACAGAGCATGTGAATCAGATTGTGAATTGTGCCACCATTGAGGCCTCAACCAAGTATGGAAGGCGCACTGTGTCACAGTAACAAGTGCATTAACAGAGCTTCAAGCAGAAAGGGTAGAAGCAGATGGAAAAGCAGAAACTAAGGTCCAGCCAGGCTTGGTGGCACCTGCCTATAATCCCATTGCTTAGGAGGCTGAGACAGGAGGATCACAGAGTTCAAGGCTTCCTTAGACTACAAAGTGAGTTTAAGTCCCCACAACTCAAGCCACCCAAACCTGCCCTGAAGGCATTCGGAGGAAAAAAAAAAAGTGAGTTTAAGGGGCCGGGGAGATGGCTCAGTGGAATAAGCGCTTCCCTGGCAAGGGCCTGAGTTCAATCCCTGGTTCCACCAAAAAAAAAGGTAACCAGAAATCTCAAGGAAGTATGTGAATTCTTCAGGAATTCCAAAAAAATAGAGAAAAGAATTCTTAGTATGTTTCTCGGCAGACATTCTGTGGGGAAAGGTGGAACACAGGACTAAACTATAGAGGTCATTAAGTGTCAAGAGATTAGTCGATTTTCCTATAAACTGTAGTTCTTTTCTTTTCTTTTCTTTCTTTCTTTCTTTCTTTCTTTCTTTCTTTCTTTCTTTCTTTCTTTCTTTCTTTTTTCCTCCTTTCTATACCAAGGACTGAACCCAGGGCCTTTGCACTAAGCTACATCCTCAGCTCTTCCTTTTTTGAGACAGGATCTTGCTTAGTTGCTCATGATAGGCTTAAACTTGTCCTTCTGCCTCAGCTTCCTAGAATGCTGGATTTACAAGCATGCACCAACACACCCAAGAATATGGAATTTTTTAAAAAGTTGTCAATCAGATACTCTGCAGGCTACAGCTTAGAGAATGGGCCTGAACTAGCCAATAGGGCATGGGGATATAGAGAGCTAGATAGTCGGGTGATACTTAGGACTGTCCCTAGATAGTGGTGTCCCTAGAATGTAGTTACTTGGGAGGATGAAGCAGGAGGGTCGCTTGTGTCGGGGAGTTCAACACCAGTCTGGAAAACAGTCTGTCTCACAAAAGAAAATTTAAAAAGATGTTTAGAGGTGACTGATTGGATTGAAGGGGTAGGGAAGGATAAAAACCAGGTTGTTTTGGGTTTTCGAAGAATTGTGGGGGTTGGCACTCGTCAGAGTTTCACTCTCCCGGGGGCTGGTGAGATGGCTCAGTGGTCTAAAGCACCTACTTAGAACAAGCTTAGCAAAGCACAGGGACCGCGGTTCAATCCCCCAGCACCACATGCCAGCCAGCCCTGCCCTCTGTTGGGCTGAGCTGGCCACACACACACACACATAAATAAAAATAAAAAAATAATTAAAAAAAAAAAAAGAGTTTCACTCTCTCTCCTTCCTCAGTCTGGAGAGGTGTTGGTGAACGTTAAGGAGCACTCCCGGCAGATCAATGACATCCAGTTATCGAGGGACATGACCATGTTCGTCACTGCATCCAAGGACAACACAGCCAAGGTAAGCCTCGGGAGAGGGGCTGGCAGGGCTGCGCTTCCCCTCTGCACATACTCAACCTGCCTGGTTTGTCCCGTTGAGAGAAACCTTTGTATAGATTTCTCCCGTTTGCCTTTTTCCAGCTATTTGACTCTACATCGCTGGAACATCAGAAGACTTTCCGGACAGAACGTCCTGTCAACTCAGCTGCCCTTTCTCCCAACTATGACCATGTAAGAGAACCCAGTCAGGCTTCCTGCTAAGCCCTCAGAACCCTAGGATCGTGGTTCTCTAGCAGCTAGGCTACCAACACGGGTAATGGTGTTGGGCTGAGGGGAGATTCTTAGGGCAGTGACAAATCTGAGACCAGTAGCCCCAGGGAACTAAGCAGGAGATGGCTGACGTGTCTGTTCATTTGCTTTGCTGTCCTCCCCTTGTGTTGTGAGAGACTTCAAGAGCTAACAGGGTGGAGAAGAAACAGAACAGACCTGGCTGCCCTTTAGGCTTATCTGGACTTTGTTCTTCCCTTCAGGTGGTCCTGGGCGGTGGCCAGGAAGCCATGGATGTAACCACAACCTCCACCAGGATTGGCAAGTTTGAGGCCAGGTAAAGAGAACAAGAGTTCTTCCACACTACAGCCACAAGGGGCACTAATCATAATGGCACCTAGGAAGTACAGGAGTGTGACAAGTGTGTAACACAGCAGTTAGTATGGTGAAACGTGAGGCCCACACATGTCAGATTTCTATCCCAGTCTTCTCAGCTGTGTAATAGAACAGTGATACTACACCTGTGTCATGAAGTTGTGCAGATAAAAGAATGAGTTAATGTTTATTAGGGTACTATCCAGCACGTACTAAGCTCTTGATATTGATATGTTTAGGCAAGGCACATCATCTTACTTTGTTCATGTTCATTTCTCCTTATTCCAGTTCCCTCCTTGTTTGCATTTTGAGAAATGTTGCCTTTGATTATGTTTTGGAAGGAGAGAATGAGTTTATTGTATCTGTCTACCCTGTCTCTAGATTCTTCCATTTGGCCTTTGAAGAAGAGTTTGGAAGAGTCAAGGGCCATTTTGGACCTATTAATAGTGTTGCCTTCCATCCTGATGGCAAGAGGTAAGGCCCTAGTGCCAGAAGCAGCTCAGCCTGGGTGTGATCTCTGCCCCTTTCTCATGCTGGGCCTCACAGGATTGCCTTGCCCATAGCAGGCGTCTGATTAACCCCTGGCCATCTTTTTCCAGTTACAGCAGCGGTGGAGAAGATGGTTATGTCCGCATCCACTACTTTGACCCACAGTACTTCGAATTTGAGTTTGAGGCTTAAGCTGGGTTTCTGCCTAGACTAGGAAGACTGCTCGTGGAACATTTTGGACTCTTAGAAATAAATTAGTTTGTTAATAAATGGCTTCTGGGCAGACAGTTAATGGGGTCTGTCTCATCGATTTCCCTCCTCACTGACAACCTAGTAGACTGATACCAGTTGAGAACACATTTATTATGTGCCTCCCCCCCATACTTTGGACCCTCCTTGGCTGGAACTTCAGTATTCTGGGCTAGCTCAGGTTATAGCCAACCTTATCAAAGGCCTTGAGGGGCCTGTGGTTTCAGGAGGTCCTCAGCTGCACTGTTCAAGGACCTCGGGCTTACAGTGGGGGTTCAGCTGCAGTTTTTGGCTGAAAGCCTTCCATCTTTTGCCTTCTGCTGCTTCTGAAGGCTCGGGTGGGCTGGTCCAGTGCCGAAACAGGCTTGAGGAAGAGAAGGAAAACAGAAGGAAGCTGAGCAAGGAGATACTTCCCTAGGGGTGTGAGCAACACTTAACCTGGCCACAGCTGCAAGTTCTGGGGTTCCACAGAGAGCCAGATGGCCTTGGGATCGAGGGCATAGAACAGGTTTCAGACCCTTCGTTGCTGTTTTGGCTGGTTGAGTCCTGACCACAGGGGACGAGTTACAGAGACATCTGTAGAAGGGAAGGGAGCTTCCAGGTATGCCTCTAGTAGGTTTTTCTTTTCTTTCTTTCTTTTTTTTTTTTTTTTTTTTTTTTTTTGGTGGAACCAGGGATTGAACTCAGACCCTTGCACTTGCCAGAGAAGTGCTTATTCCACTGAGCCATCTCCCTGGCCCAAAAATGTGTTTTAGTAGGTTTTTCTTTTCTTTCTTTTTTTTTTTTTTTCTTTCCAGCTATGCCTCTAGGATCCAGTGATGTCATCCCTGCTTAGTAGGGTAACAGCCATTCTTGGGCTGTGATAACTTACGTTTTCTTGAAAACCCTTGCCAGTAAGATATTGTACTAGGCTGTAGAACGAAACAGGAAAAAGACCAAATCCCACTCCTTAAGGACTTCTGTGCTGGGCACGGCGATGCACACCTATCGTCCCAGCAGTTGGGAGGATGAAGCAAGATCATTGCAAGTTCAAAGGCCCACTGGGCTACATAGTGAGACCCTGTTGCAAAAACCAGAAAGCTATATGCAGTTTGGAGGGTGGTGCAGGCCTATAAGCCCAGCACTTAGGAGGCAGGAGCAGGAGAAAAGCTATTGAGCTGGGTCTCTTACGGCTTATATCTAAATGTCCCCTCAAGCCTGAAGGTGTGGCTTTTGAAAGGTGATGGGGCCATATGTGTGTGACACTGGGTTGGTCCACTGGTGGGTGTACATGATAAAGGAAGACCCACCCTGGGCTGACATTGACACCAGCCAATGAAGCTTGTAGCCTGGATGGCACAAAAAGGGGAAGAAGGAAGTTGGCTGCTTTCTGCCTGCCGTGCCATGGAGCGCTTCTCTGCTGTGCCAGCCTGCCTTGTAGCCAGCTGTCTGGACTGAAACCTCTATAACTGCAAACTAAATAAAGCTTTTTTCCTTTAACTCATGGGTCAGGTATTTTGTCTCAATGATGAGAAAGTAAGGCAGTCTCTGGAAGTTTATAGGTGTGTAAAAGGCATGTGGTGCCGGCCATGGTCTTACACGCCTGTAATCCCAGCACTCAGGAGGCTGAGGTAGGAGGGTCATTGTAAGTTCAAGATTACTCTGGGCTGCAGAGAGAGCTCAAGATCAGTCTAAATTGCATAGCAAGACCCTCTCTCAAAAAGACGTGTCATAGCTTGGATAAAGAAGGTCCCCCGGGGCTGGTGAGATGGCTCAGTGGTCTAAAGCACCTACTTAGAACAAGCTAAGATAAGCAAAGCACAGGGACCGCGGTTCAATCCCCCAGCACCACATG